ACAGATGTAAGATGGAATCTCAAAGTCATCTTGATTTGCATTTTCCTGATGGCTAAAGATGATGAATATTTAAGTGTTTCTCTGGCATTTGAGATTCTTCTGTTGAGAATTCTGTTTAGGTCTGTATCCCACTTTTAGATTCTTTGGTTTTTTGATGTCTAGTTTCTTGAGTTCTTCATATATTTTAGAGATCAGCCCTCTGTTGGATGTAGGGTTGGTGAAGATCTTTTCCCATTCTGTAGGCTGCCATTTTGTCCTGTTGAGTGTCCTTTGCTTTTCAGTTTCACGAAGTCCCATTTATTAATTGTTGATCTTAGTGTCTGTGCTACAGGCGTTCTATTCAGAAAGTAGTCTTTTGTGCCAATGCATTCAAGCCTACTCCTCACTTTCTCTTCTATCAGGCTCAGTGTAACTGGATTTATGTTGAGGTCTTTGATCCACTTGGACTTGAGTTTCGTGCAGGGTGATAGATATGGATCCATTTGCATTCTCCTATACACTGACATACAGTTATTCCTAAACTAGCAATCTTAATCAACTGATTATAATTGTTAAAATTGAGTCATCTCCAAAGCACCCAAGGACCAGGGAGGGTAAATGATAAATTCTGGGAAGGGGCCTGGGAAACCAGGTAGGAAGGATTTTAGGGCTAAAGAGGTATTCGAAAACTTGAAGAACATGTAAAATTTTCTCGTATGGCAACTGGCAAAGGTGGGCATTTAGATTAAGAAAACACTGCTGTCAATGGTTGGGGTGAAACAGCCTGATGTTCTTAGAGGGAAGTAACTTACTTAGGGGATTAAGGGACCAAAGGACTCATTGTTGAAGAACTGACAGCATGTTTTCAGCCTGTTGACTCACTTGTAACCGGATGCTGTTCCGAACATAGCTGAGGTGTTAAGGGGTGAAGCTGAGAAGGAAAATACATTTCAGACTGTTCCCTCCACTCTGCCAGCAATGGTCAATTACACTAGTCAGATCTCCTAAATTCCCCAGGAGTGGCCCTTCATCCAGACATGACAAAGAGCACACAGGACAGCTGGATGGATAGTAAGAGTGAACACCCACTACTACCTAAGCCTTGGGTATGATGCAAGTGTTCCCAGACCACCTGTCCCTTTCCCAACACCTTTGGAAGCTGACTGACTTTAAGCTTTAGGTATTACTAACTAAAAAGATGTATATTCTTCTACATTTGCTTCTTTTGCTTGTTATACTTCTCAAACATTTGTGTGTGTGTGTGTGTGTGTGTGTGTGTGTGTGTGTGTTGCCCATAGTCACACATGTGCATCTATGAGCACACCACAGCTTGTTTGCAGGTAAAGGACTAGTGGGAGTAGGTTCTCTCCTTCTACTATATGGTTTCTGGTTATTGAAATCAGGTCAGCAAAGCCCATTTACCTGCTGAGCCAGCCCCAATTTATGCTCCTGAGATTCACCCCCTGCAAATGGGTCAAGCTGTAGTCCATGTGTGAGCACTGCTGTAAAATATTTCACTCAGAGTGCATCATGACACACTTTCACATTGTGAAGGATGCTTATACGGACATCATGTTTCAAGAACATTTCATTCTGTCTTCTAACAAATGTATTCAGGCACTCCTCTGGAATGTATCGGATGCTAGCATTTTATTTAAGCTACTGAACAATGTATGTGTGACATACATATGGATCTTTCCCTCTCTCTCTCTCTCTCTCTCTCTCTCTCTCTCTCTCTCTCTCTCTCACACACACACACACACACACACACACACACACACGGGGCAGGGAGGGAGAGACAGAGAGAGAGATTGGCCCATGAGAATGTAAGTTACCATCCACCATTGGTCCTGATGCATGCCGGCTGGCCCTGGTGGAACCAGAGTGGAGCTGCTAAGATGAGCAAGGTGCCCGTGCTTCACCGAAATGCCTGAACAGAGAGTTCCCCAAGGGAAGTTTGTAGAAATCCAAAAATTCCAAGTTCTTGCCAAATGTCCAATTTCCTAAGTGAAAATCAAAGTGGTGGGAATGGAGAGGTAGATCAGGGTTTAAGAGTCTTTGCTGTTCTTCCAGAGAGTGGATTTTGATTCTACAAAATTTGATTTTACATCAGATGGATACAGTCACATGTAACTCCAGCTCCAGGGCATCTGACACCCTTTTCTGGCCTTCTCAGGAACTCACACACAGCACACAATACCAATCCTTAAGAAATCAAAATGCTGCACAATGGAAGCAGTTTCGTGGCTGCTGGAGTTTCCCATGCTTGTGAAACATTTCTGTTCCATTTTCTTTGCTAATATTAACACAGATATATCAGCTTTCCATTGTCTCAGGCTTGTGGGGGTGTGTTCTTTCTGTCTTCTAAAGGTGCTTCTTGTGAACATCATGAAGTTGTTTTACACCCACTCAGAAAGTATTTCAACTTCAATTTGGAGCGTTCACTATAATTGCTGATCCAGTTTCATGCTATTTTACTATGATTTATGGTTAAACAGACTTCAACATGAATCCTTGACTTATGGCAGTGTAGTATGAATTCTTATATTTTCACTGTAGTGGGTAGCCATTCCAGCTTGGTTCTGGAAGTTCCAACCCCCATTGAGACTCTGGCAACTGTCACGCCTACGAGGCGGGGCGAGGGGAGGCGCCAGGGGACCCGAGAGCTGGATGGGTCAGCGCTCTCTCGGTGCCGGAACACTGACCGGTGGAGATTGACTGTGCAGAGCTCCGGAGAACACCGCTGGACTGCATTACACCTTCCCCAGACCCTGCGACCTACCCATTACTTTATTTGTGAGTTACGCCATTAAATAAATATCCTTTTAACTACGTGGAGTGGCCAAAATAATTTCTCCAATATCTGGCGCCCAACGTGGGGCAAACTCCAAAGGCCTGGGCGGCTCCCGCCGTCTCCTCCCTAGCTGGCGGGTACCTCAACCCGCGACCTTGGCGTTATCAGCTACCCACTACATTTCACTATCAGCTAAAGCTGAGCACAGCTTATCTCCATTCCCCTCTTACCTTCCCATGCAATGGTCATCCCATTTTAAATCCTGACAGGCATTGCCATGATGGTCCTGAGTACTTCCCTCTCCCACTTGGACATGGGAGTTCTCCCCAGATGGGCTCCATGGATGGCAATAATGATGTGTATGTCTGCTGTATTTCCCAGAGTCCAGACCTTGCTGGGATTTAATGTACTTTCCTGTTTGTATAGGTATGTAGGGAGATTTCCCTCCTTCCAAAGAGAGCCTGGGAGAGATAAAGTATGGTGCTCCAGGATCAGCCTTTTCTCCTCCAATTCAGGCACAGGCATGTTTCTCTGAAAATTGCAAACTATTGGGCCAGATGAAGAGGAACAGGGATGGGGAGAAGCAGCTAAACCAAGATGGGACATCTGCAAAGCAGCTTTTCAGGCAGGCAGGTTGAAGTGGCATAGATCTCTAGTTAGCTGTGGTCCTGAGACGATATTGCAGGGTCACCACAAGCATGCATCTGCCTGGTAAAGATTCCTGGCTGCAAGGGGCCATGGCAGAGGATCAACTCATTGAGACCGATAGGCCACATCAAGAAATGAGTGACCAGCTAGGAGACCCCACCAAGACCCTAAAGCAGCCATAAGTAACCCCATCAAAGAGCCAACACAGGATGTTGGCCGCAGAAGCATCATCCGGAGAAACCAAAGCCACCCCCCTCCAAGCCCTCTGGGCATTCCTCTGGCAGGGAAGCACCAGAAAGGTGCAGCAGATGGCATTTGCCAAAGGTGGCATAGTGGTGCCTCCCATCAGAGGTCTTCTGTTATGTGACCTCACCCTCTGTGTGCCAAGTGACCGGGACCAGTCTATGTATTTTTACCCTCTGACGCCTCCACAAGAACAACATGGCTGGAGAGCAGGATTGTCCTTTCCTGTCCCTGCCAACACCTGAGATCATGCCACAGCCCTATCCTTTAGCTACATTTGTTGTTTTTTTTTTTCCCATAAGCACTGTGGAAAGTCTACGGAAAGGGGAATTTCTGTCGCCACAGCCATTGACCTATTGCTTACAACAGAACAGCTACAGACTCATTTATTCATTCACTCAATCTTTTTCTTTTTTTCAAAAAATATTTGGCATGCTTGCTCTGTGCCACATACTTTTTTTCCTGGACACTAGGTTCACATCAGGGGACAAAACAGACAAAAATATCTTCATCTTTCCTGAGTTTAAATATTTTCAAACAAATCAATTATTAATACCACGAACCTACAGGAAAAACAAAAAGGCTATCTGCCCATAAAATTATTTATTTATTTATTTATTTATTTATTTATTTATTTAGTTAGTTAGTTAGTTAGTTAGTTATTGAGCCTATGTAACTCTGGCTGGCCTCGAACTCACAGAGCTCTGCCTGCTTCTGCCTCCTGATGCTGAAATCAAGCGTCAGCTAATTTTTAAAGGCAGGAAAGATTAGGTACTAGATCTGGTAGTCTTCCTGTAAGTGTTCCCAAATTCTCACTGATAACTTTTAAAGCTATTGAGAAAAGAGGCAAGATGTTGGTGTAAGAGGAGATCTGGAAGAAAGCAGAGCAGGAGAGGAGAGGGATGCTTTGGAGGGACCGGCCAGAGCCAGGGAGGCCGGAGGACCAGATCCATCAGTGTGCTTCCCACTGTGCCTCTCAGGGCCCGTTACCGCCCAACGGCCACTGGACGTGGGTCTGTGAGCTCCATCCTCACAGCCGGGGTGGGGCAGGGGACCGCCAGGGTGTCCCTTCTCTCCCTTCCTTTGTGACATCGGCGGTGTGGCTCCCGAGGGAGGCAGATGGGGGACCGAGCGTCCCCGTCCCAGTCCCCGTCCCAGTCCCCGTCCCTGTCCCCATCCCCGTCCCCCACTACTCCCCATCCCCCTACCCCGGGCTTACTGGTTTGGTTCATCTTGGAGATGCAGAAGCAGGAGAAGCAAAAGAGCAGGACCGCAACGAAGGCGAACAGTAAGTTGATGTTCTTGGCCTTCATCGCGCCGGCGACGCGGCAGGCTGGGGGCTGCACCCCAAGGCCGGATGAGCACGGCACCTCCCGGGAGAGCAGGGAGCCTGTGTCCGCTCGCGCTTGCGCCCCCTTCCACAAAGGCCGTCGCAGGGTCTCCAGCGCTTTCGCACGGTCGGATCGCGGTCCCTTCTTGAGATCACTTTATAACCCTCTGGCTAAGGCTGCGGGTGGTTAAACGTGAGAAACTGTGGGCACCACCGACTTGGCGTATTTTCCTGAGAGAATTCACCGGATTTCGATTCACAGGTGAGAAACACACGGCACACCCGCGGAGCCCCTTCATCCGTGTTTCCGGTTTGGCTTTTCCACTCTGAACTCTGTTGGGACTCGCGGGCAGTGTCGGGGTGATAAGCAATCTCTCTTCTGCAAGCGCAGCCTGGGTTCTGGCCCCTTTGAGAGCTAAAAAGGATGTGGATACCCACCTGCTTGAGAATGGCATTTCTGCTCGGATGTCTCACCTCAGTGTGTCCAAGCATCTCCCTCAAGCTCTGCATCTACAGAGCCCCTCAGTTTTATGAAATGGCGTTAGACCAATTGGCTTCACTGTTTTTACACCCCATCATTTATAAAATGTCTACAATCCTCAGAAACTTGTTTCTAAACCCGTGTATCTGTTTTTTCCCGCCCTGACACCCACGTTGTGGCGGTGTCCCGCTATAGCATCCACTCTTTGCGGGCCACATTTCTTCAACTAACAAGACGGTTTTTCCGCCCGTCATGCCTGCTTGAGTAGCTCTTTTTTTCCGGGGTGATAAAGCCCAGGCAGGCTCTTCAACTGGTAACCAACCAGAAAATGAGCATTACTGTAAACGTAACACAGAACAATATCAAACTACTAGCGTCCAGTTTACCGAAGTTTTATGTTAGGAACTTTCTAAGCACAAATATTCCAATGGATGCCAGAAGGTGGCAGTATTGTGTTTCAACAACAACAACAAAAACAAAACAAAAACAAAAAATCGTATTTGAATGGGTCCTAGTATCAGAAAATTCCCAAATCCTTTGAATATGCTGGTGTCCTTGGGTCCCTATACTACACTTGGATCACTGTTTATATATAATTTTCAGTTTGTCAAACAGAATCTTGTGTGTTTTCTTTCTTTTCACTGGCAGGGCCCTGTAGGGAGAGCGATTTGTTATTGTTCGTAGACTATCTCTGGAGTCCAAAGTTATTTTTAGGTCCATGGTAGTTAGCCAAAGTTAAATTCACAGGAATGGGCTCTGACTCCTAGCTGGATAACCATCCAGCTGGCTAGCCTTATTACCACAACTATCAAATCCTACCGAAGGGCGAATCACCCCAGTGCCTTCATTGACATGATAAGTGCCCTAGATTTTTATATAGTAGCCATGTTTAGACATGGTCTCACCAGCTGTGACAGCAATCGAAGAGACCAGATATCCTCGGGGAAAGGCCACAAACACACATTTGTGTAGCCAACAGTGCTAGATTTTCTCTGAGTGAGGTCAGGGAGTCAGTCTGATTTGTCACCCAAACGAAGCCCGTTCAGTTTGCTGGACTTCCTGTTCCACCTACAGGATGCCTGGCACAGCGGTCACTTCCTTAAACCATGGTGATGTCACGATAGTCAAGAGTTACCTGCAAGAGCCACTCTCTTTCCTGGGCTATCTGGGTCAACAGGTAATAGAAGAGGAGATTAGGACTTCTGCTTCCATTTTTTCACAAGGGAGGATGATTCCTGTGTTCCTCAGGAATTTTGTATTGCCTGGCATTCACTCTCAGGGAGCACTGGAGCAAGTCGCAGGCCCTTCACTCTGACGGTCTTGTTGAAACTACATGAAGGGCCTTCTCCGTCTCATAAAGGCATTCCAATTCAAGATGGTAATGACAAGGACCTTAACCATGTTCTTTCTAATTTTGTGACTGGTAAAATCAAGAGCTAGATATCTTATTTCTTTTTCTGCATTGTCATAGTGATTTGGTGCTATGCATTGTGCCTTTTTCATATCCCGAACTTCCATTCTCATGCCTTAATGCTGCCCGTTTCCTGTCCTGCTGGGATGTGAGTATACCTTCCACCATCGTCATGGTCCATTCAGTACGTTTCCTACCATCCTTCCCGGCTCAGCACTGACCATGCCATACACCCCTGGACTCTCCACACAAGTCAAATGATAATTTATTCTTGTCTTAGCTACTTTACAGTACGCCTTACAATAACAAAACACCTGACCAGAGAAACTTAAAGGACAAAGGCTTGTTCTGGCTTGCAGTTCCCAGGGGAGGTAGGCCATCTCGGTGGAGAAGGCAGGAATATGAGGCAATCAGGAAGCAGGACCAGGGAAGCAAAAACCTCAAAGCCCGCCCTGGGACATACTTCCTTCAGCCAGGCTCTGCTCCTACCAAAGGTTGTACAACCTTTCCAAGGACCGCCATCAGCTGGACACCAAGCATACAAATCCACGAGCCTGTGGGGGACATTTCACATTCAAATTACAACATTCCTCTGAATGCACTTATGTAAGAGACGGGTTAAAATCACCGGAGCTGGAGAAACATCTTAGAAGTTAAGAACAACAGCTGCTTTTGCAGAGGACCTGGGTTTGAGTCCCAGCACACACAGTGGCTCACAACTGGCCATAACAACAATTCCAGAGGATCTGGCGCTCTCTCCTGGCCTCTGTGGACACCAGGCACGCAGGTGGTGCAAAGAAAGACATTCGGGCGGAACACCAATACACATACAATACAAATCTTAAAGAAAATTTAAAAAGCCTCACCTTTGCTAACGAGTAGACTCTCTCTGTTCTGAATTCTGCATCTGTAGCTTTGAAAGTGTGGATAGAAAATGTTTTGGGAAAATGATATTTGAACAATATAGACTTTTCTCTTGTTTTTGCTAAAATAACATTATAAATATTTGCATACTGTTTGCATTATTCTAGGAATAATGAGGTATATAAAAGTCACTTGTGGTACAGTATTTAAGTCAGCAGGTGGCAGAAGTCTGTAGATCACACTACCTTATTTTACATCAAAGGCTTGAGTATCACAGTACCACAGACTTTGGTGTCTGATGGGTCCTAAGGAAAATCCCTCATAAATACTGAGGGATGACATTTTCATCCTGGGACAAAGTTTTCTGCACCCCGAGTTCATGCACAAAGAAACAGCGCTGTTTAATTTGGTCCTCTGTGGACCAAATGCTTGAGCTGTACCAAGTAGATGGTTAGTGGCTGTGTCAGGCGGTTCTCGCCATTCAGCAGTCTTTCAAACCAACAATTCTATGGTTTTTTAATCGTTAGAAATGTAGATGCAGCAGTGTGGCTAAGCACTATAACCAAAGGCTGGGAAAATAAGTCAGTAGGTGCTTGTCATGGCAGCATGGCTACCTAAGTTTACACCCCAGCAACTATGTGAAAATCCTGGTGGAGCCTCACGCACCTCTAAGTCCCAGAGCATGGGAGGTGAAGACGTGAACATCTCTACAGCATGTTGGCCAGCCAGGCTGTCTAAACTGGTGAGCTCTCTGTTTGATCAGAGATCCCATCTCCAAAACTAAGGTGGGAAAGGAATGGAGGAAGAGAGCCCGGTGGTGTCCACTTCTGGTTTCTACCTAACACGCACGCAAGCACGCACGCACGCACGCACGCACCCACACACTATCCAGACTTCATCATAATGTAGCCTTTGGCTTTCTTTTAGGTATCTGTTAAGGTCTGAAAGGGCACATAGTTTAATGGAGAGACCTAGAGAGCAGGTGAAGAAGGTCCCGTTTTCATCTGGGAGTCAGAATCCTATCTTAGAACCTTGTTGTTTCTTAGCTGGCACCATAGAAGAATAAAGTCAAAGGATATAAATGCAGTGAGCATCCTCTCCTGAAACAGTGAGGATTTAATAGATACGAACACACACACACACACACACACACACACACACACACACACACACACAGACACTGCTGCAAAAAGAAACAAAAATCTGGCTAGGGAAAATCCCCTGGTGGAAGGAAACTGGCAGCCAGTGTCTGGGCAGGGATGTAGCTGGCCTGCGAGGATCCAGGGGCAACCAGGGGCAGACAGATATTTCTTTACATCTCCCCACCTTTACACAGAGAGCTGTGGACCTTCCTGTGAACTTTTGGTGGGCTCTTGGTTCTTCCCCTACCCCATTCATTTGATAGCTCTTTCTCAATTGATCCTAGCTTTTCACCCTCTGGGTATACCCATTTTTGAGATTTGTCACTCAGGGCTTGGTTGGTAACCTATAAATTTGGACGCTCCGAGGTTGCAGAAACAGGACCACTTACTGCGGGAGCCTACAGAAGAGAAGGAAGGCTGCCTTTAACACTCCCGGGGATAGATTTACTGGAGGCTCGGCTCCTGAGCCTTCTCTTCTGCCCTGGGCAGGGAGCTCACTTGAGCCGCCTCTAGGATATGACGAGCAGCTGCAGGCAGAGGAACTGATGGCTACAGGACTGCGTTATCTGATGTACTAACTGATGGACTGCGTTATCTGGCCACAGAAGGGAATTATTATCCCTGCAGCTGCTCCCAGCCGCCTCCACCCACTGCTTCTGAGACCTACTCCGCTCCAGACTTCCAGACTTGAGGCTTCAGAGCTTCAAGCCTCCAGGCGTAGCCACTGCTGGTCCAGTGACCTGCCCGGCTGTGACCTGCCAGACTGTGTGCTTTCAGGAGCTGACAGCTCTACCCGAGAGTTCAAATGTCTCCATTTGAACAGGAAAATCCTGCATGGTGATGTGTTTAGTTTTTTATCTTGTTAAGGTTTTAATCCTAGAGTGACAATGAAGTCCGCTTGTTTGTACTCTTTGCTGCCTGCCTTCTCCATCCTTGGAGGAGGGCTGGACAAAATTTGATTGGAGACAGCAGGGAGATGGTCTCCACCAAACATTTCACTTCCATTGGGCAAAGATAACGGCTTCCGTGTCCTTCACTGGTTTCTGTTCTACAAGTAGAATCTGCCTTTGAAATGGTGGCTGAGTAGTGGGAAAGTGTGCATTGCTCACTTAATTCAAGTTAACAGGGCAATGAACGGAGCACAGACAAGACATTGGCCTCCACGTTTCTGGAAGTATACAGACGCAGCAGTGGTTGCCTTTGAGCAAGGGGAATAAGGAGCCAGGAATCTTGGTTAGGTGGGAGGATATTTTATTTACTTTTTGAGACAAGACCTGATGATGCCAGGCTGGCCTTGGTCTCCCAATCTTCCTGCCTACATCGCCCTCTGGCTGGGTTTACAGGCTTGCACTACCATGCCCAGTTCAGGGATTTCTTACGTTTCACTTTATTTTTATTGTATGGTTTCTTCTGTACTTAGCCTTTTTTCCACTTTGCTCTTTCTTATCCAACCCTCCGACCCCTCACTGTTCCATCAGCATTTTCAATACGCTCCTCATTCGAGACCTCTACACCTACTGTCCACATGGCCGATGTCATGGCATACTCCTTCACTTCATCCAGCAAAGCTTATTCTTACTTTGCTGACTCCGCTGTATGTAACTCTTCCTCTGCTCCCTAATCCCCCTTAACTAATCTCCCTAATAGCTTTGTTAGGCAGCGTCACCTGATACTATGTTTTTGCCAGTTGGTTTAGTGTGCAGTCCCTTGTAGAAGACAGCCTGGCACAGTATACTAGCTAATCAACCATACCTTTTGGGGCTTTAAAAAATGTGCACAAAGAAGAAAAACAAGAAAAAATAACAAAGAGAAGAGAAAAAAAAAGCAAATAAAACAAAAGAAAAAAACAAAAGCAAAAAAATGAAACAAAAGTGTACAAATTATTCTTCCAGTAGAAACAATAATTAATAATTAAGAAATGAACGTCTGATGAGTTGATCGTTCAATGTTCATTTTCAGAGGAAAAAGTCCAAACTTCGCAACTTCTCATTGCACACAGGCCACGCAAATTCCTTTGCGTCATCCATAAAGTCCCTTCGAGCCAAGTTTCCTTTGTGCCTCATAAAGAGAGGGAAATAATCATTTCACAGATTAGGAAATGTAGGTGAAAGTGCTGTCGTCCTAACCGCGATGGAAGAGCCGCTGAATGCCCTGAGCAATTTCCAGGCGGCGTCCTCCGAGGCCACGTTGGCGCTGGGCGTGGCAGCCGGCCCCCGTTGCCAGGGGAACCGCCCGGCGTCTGGCGCTCCAGCCCGCAGGCCCTCCTTCCGCACCGATGATAGGCGGGAGCGCAGACCAATCGAAAGAGGACAGAGAGGCGGGGCTCGGAGTCCGGCGACGCCTCCCCGCTCCCCCCGCCCCGGCCTCCTGTCCCGACTTCCGGGTCGCGGTGTTTGCAGGGAGTGCTCCGCGTAGAGCGTCGTTTCCGTTGCCGGTGTTTGCAGCTGGGGGAAACCGAGGCAGCGCCAGCTTCCCCTAGTTCTTCCGCTCCTGTGAGGTGGCTGCTGTTTTAATTTTCTCTCACCCTGCGTTGCTGGTGTGCAAGCCTCGCCGGGGTCCTGCGGATAATCCGCAGGGTGCCGGGGCCGTCGGGGCTTTGTGCAGCGTTCCCGCGCGCGAGAGGGGCGGGACGGCGCGGTGCCCAAGGGGCTCGCGCACGACCTCCCGAGGCCCCGGGGCCCGCGGCCGCCCGCCGGGACGGCCTGCCGGTGCCTGGCACTTCTGCCGCCTTCGTCCCGACAGGCGCGGACGGGATGACTCATTTTAAAGATCCAGATCCGCGCGTCTGGCACCGGCACCGCGTGCCCTGCCCGGCGGGGATTTCGAGTTTGACAGCTCCTCGGGCCCCGGCGCAGAGAGGGTGTGTCTGCAAATCCCAGGGCTGGAAAGCAGGCGAGGAGCGTTTTCCTCTTGGTCCCCGGCATCCCTCCTCCCCTTCGTTTAGCACCCGAAGAGTTTTCGTCTAAGATCCAGTTGTATCGAGTGTGTAGGTTTTGCGGGATTTTTTTTTTTAAACTTTTTGGTATTTCTGCCCTTCACCTATTGACTGGAAAAATCATGAATTCGTCAGGATGCCATCTGCTCGGTTTTCAATCTGTCTGCTGCAGTTTGTAAGCCGCTGTAGTGTTCTCATTTGTTGGTGTCAGCTGACTGAGACAGCTGGGACACGCTCTGCACCAAGGCTAAGGCGAGCTCATTCTTGGGGATCCACATCAGATGTGTGGTTGATTTGAAATTGTTGCTCGATTGGTCCTTCTATTCTCGAACTGTTTAGTTTCAAGTTTTAAGGGATGAAAAACAGTAGTAGGAATCCAAATGTGAAATATTATTATTTGGTAAACATGTAAGGTGGTTATTGTTCTTTTAAGCCATTAAATAATTCGGCCAATTTTTCCTACTTTTTTACAATTTAAAAAAAAATTTTTTTTTGACCAGTTGGCCTAGAGATAAATTGACCATTTGGTTAATCAGTATTTAATCTATGCTATATATTGTTTCCTTGCCTAACTGATTAAACACTGTCACAAAATAGACACAATGGAATAATAGATTTTATTATAATTTGGGATCTGGGGCTAGCCGGGCGGTGGTGGCGCACGCCTTTAATCCCAGCACTCGGGAGGCAGAGGCAGGTGGATCTCTGTGAGTTCGAGGCCAGCCTGGGCTACCAA